CGATATCAACACTCTCTCTGGATTCTGATCACGTCACAGGTACGTACTAGCTATCAATGTTCTGGCACTTGTGTACACCAAATTGCAGTTACCATCCTCAATCTGCCTTGTAGTCTCGGGAAAACCTCTGTGGAAGAGTCCTGGTTTCCTCGTGTATGATTTTCTTGGTGACAAGGTTAAGAATCTTTTCTCTTATAACTTCGTATTTTCGAACACACATCTTCTCTACACCATTGATGTTATCTTGCAATTAAGTCAAACATGAAGAATATATAAATGAATAGTAGGAAAGAAAGTACATATAAGATGGATAGTATTTAGAAATACGAAATGTTAAATTTATTTTGATTTGGTCAATTTCATGAATCGAACAGATCCTTTTATCACTCTTAGCAACTGGGGTAGGTGCGGCATTTGGTGCTACACTGGATCTCAAGAAAAACCTGGATGACTTGGATGATATCCTTCAAGAAAACTATAACAACACGGCCCTTTCCCTAATTCGAGTAAAACTTGATGATTTTTTCAACAAGGCCTATGTCTCAGCAGGATTCCTTCTCATTGCTTTCCTCACCTCAATAATTTCGTCTATAATTTCATCTTTGGATCTCACCAAGAAGACCTACTAATAAACAATAAGAAATCTTTTTAATGATGTATAAGATGTTATGCAAGAAGAGTGAATGCATTTCTTTTCATTTATCGTGAAGATTTTATGGAAGGTCCTGTGGTTTCCATCATTCCTTCTATAGATATAGAAATTTTGAAAGAAGTTGAAAGGGATAATTGCCTTGCAGTTACCAAATCTTCTATATTTTCTTCAACAATGCTATGGTGATAGAATTTTTTTGACATAATGGATAATCGACCCTCACATTAGCAGGGGCCTACTTTTTTGGACTTTTTTATTCATGCAAGGCCCACGTGCTGTGAGAGGACGTCAACCATTATGTTTAAAAAACATTCTGGCAAAGTCATTTAATTCTGTTTTCTTTGCATTGAGCATTGAGTTGAGAATTATAAACCTTGATTCTAACCCACCAAAAGCAATCAATTTAAAGAAAGAAAGTAAATAATCAAGAACGGGCAAGATTTATAAAAGTTCGTTTCAATGTGAGACCACGTCGTCTCTCGCCACGACAATAATTCACTATGATGAAAAAGGTTTACCAAAGAAAATATCAATCATATCTCTTCTAACCTCTCTTTCTCTCTATTCGATGATAGTAAAGCCTAGAGATTGCTCCCTATTTATAAGATAACTTAGGGTAAAACCAAAATTTACAAGGAATCCTATTCCTTCATAGAATTTTACAAAAATATAAATTCCTAAATTGACCTAATTTAAAATTCTTGTCAGGGGGCTGTTTACCCCCGAACCCCTACGGCGACCTCTCAGCAGAGGTCTATCCATGACTAACTCCACAAAGTGGCAATAATTTGGGTTGAACAACAATTGGGCTCCAAAATTTAACAATCTTCTACTTGGAGACTAATTCACCATCAATAATTCTTCTGCAACGACAACAACTCCTCATTCCTCAAAATGAAAGTTCAACTCGATCAAAACAGTCTTTGTCGACATTTCAGCTAGATTCTGACTCTCTTGAATCTTCTCTAGTGTTAAGATTCCATCCTTCAAAGTCGATATGTTGAAATAATAACAAACTTGTCGATGCTTTGTCCTTGCATGATAAATAGGAATTTTAGCTAAGTGAATAGCGCTTTGACTATCAAAATGCAACATACTATTCCTAAACTTGTGACCCAATCCAAAAAAGACTACAAATCTATCATCTCTTTGCTAGCTCTAGATATAGTAACATGAGTCATTCTCAGAAGTGGAAAGAGCAACTATCTTTTGTAATTTAGATACCAACTAACTGTTTTATTACACAAAGTGTGCATGTGTGTGTGTGTGTATTTCCTAACATGTTAACGTCTATATAGTCATGTAATCCCAAACTTGGACTCTAAAATATGAAGCTAACCCTGAAGTACCTATCACGTGTTTGAGATTCCACTTTACTGCCCCCCCAGTGTTGTTTGCTTGTATTGCTCATATATCTACTCACCACGGCATGTGCTGTGTCCAATCTTATACATACCATGGTATACATAAGACTGTCAATAGCAGAGACATAAGGCACCTTGACCATGAGGCTCACTCATGCTCTATAATGGGTAACTACTTATTTGATAGAGGTTCACGAAATTATTTCTTTTGATATTAAACTACCACAAGTATACGGTTCGTTGACAAGTAATAAAGTGGAATATTGAATTTCGAATATCGTCCCACTAGATCGAGTAGTTAAACTTTATCTACCTTAGCCTTAACCGAAAAAAATTTATCAAAATTGAAGTTTTAACCTAAGAAAACCCTAATTTAGCAAATCCCTAATTATGGAAAACCCTAATTCATCTAGAATGATTGTTGAATGAATTTCAAAAGATAAAATGATGTATCTAAATGAATCTAAATGCAATATGATGATTGGAACACAAGTTTACTTTACTCAATGAAATTTAAACGCACTAGGATCACGAATTCCTATGTAATGATCACCTAAAACCCTAATTTCACAATATGACAATGCGATTGGTTTATTGAAGAACCAATGCTCCTAAATCTATCCAACACACTCTCTCGAGCAATATTGAACATATTCTTATATACCACCAGCCTATATCTCTATGACGAATGCATATACATAATGATATGATCCAGGAGTCGAGCCCGACGAAGGCAAGTGCGAGACGAGACCCGTTGATAGTCGATGGCGGACCAATGACGCGATCAAGTGTAAAGCAAGTGAAACAAGCGATGGAATTGCTCGTTCAAGAAATCATTGATGGAACCATATTTGAGACTCAAAATGGAGCAACTTTCATGTTCGGGACGAAGGCCGAATCAACTTGGATCAATTTGTTATTAAGCGACGAAATCGGAGGCTGAAAAACAAGTTTGTGCGGCTGCACAGGCAAAACACCATGCGGCCGCACACATGCATACCGAAAATCAAAACACCAATTCTTGTTGAACCATGTGGTCGCATGGAAATACACCATGCGGCCGCACAAGCCAAAAAAATTGGCGAATTTTCTAATTTTGGCCGAATTTCCTAGTTTCGATAGAATTCTCATGAAATCAAATTATTACCATAATTTGATGGTTTTGGAAGTTTTTATTCTTTAGTATAAATAGGAGAATATTTTTCATCGTAAGAACTTTTGACTTTTGACTTTTGCTTAATATTATAGAGAGAGAATTGTTCTTTCAATTTCTTGTTCTTCTTGAACAATCTTGGAACTTATCATGATTCAACTTCTTGTGGTGTTCTAAACAATTGGATTGTAGGTTCTTTTAATTGTAATCAAGGGGTTTTAGGTTCTTCGCTAATCTAGGGCTTCTTGGTTCAATTCTTGGGGTTCAAGATCTAAAACCGGATTAGTATTGGGGTTCTTGGGTTTCGCATCAATCTCGTTGTGGGTTTCGTAGTTTCCATTGCTACGGGGTTCGCATCAGTTGGTATCAGAGCTTTGGCTCCAATTTAATCAGGTTATATCCTTTGTTTTCTAATTTTTTTCAATTTTTTGTGTTCTTGTGTCCAGAAGGTTTTCTTGATCCTTTGATCCAAAAGTTTCATAAAAAATCTTCAAATTTTGTTTTTGGGCTCAGTTTTCGCCCAAATCAGTTTTCGTTTTCTTTGTTAGTTTTGTTATTGATTTTTGGATCTAAAAAAAAATTATTGTTCATCCGTATGGTACTGTTCATCCGTACAGTAAAAAAATTGTTAAATATTATTGATCCGTCAAATACCAACTTTTATTATTCAATATCGTTTCTAAATTACTTGGACACATTGAATCATTCCATTCCTTCGATTGAAGTCAAGTTTTAAAAGTTTTCTTTGAGTCCTTCGTTACAATTATTGAGTCACATCCGGTTTGGGGAATTCTACACGAATTAATTGATTGATTGAGTTCATTGATTGTTCCTAGAAGCAATTGTTGAAAGAACTGAGTGGTAAAAGGTAGAGAGGTGAGCTTAATAGAGGGTAAAAGCCCTTGTGTGTGTTCCGAGCAACTTTTGGTGTGGCAGTAAAATAAAATTTTTAGTGTTAGGATGTCAGAAAGGGCAGAATCAAACTCAAGCCGACAAGGCAATAATAGCAATGCATCGAAGGATTTAGTGCAGAGGTTTGAGAGGGCATTTGGAGATGTGAGAGGAAGGTTGGAGAAGCAGGAGGCTTGGATGAATAGATTAGACACATCGATGGCTAATCTTAGTCGGGGGTATCGAGTGGATGTATCCAATGCCAGAGGATCGGATAAATGAGAACCTAGGAGGGAAAGGAGAGAACAGTATGGATATGGGAGTGACATAGGCGAAGATGAATTTCACGGTGTTGAGATGGGAAGGATGAGGAATAGAGCCGATAGGTTCGACAGATGGAGTCGGAATGATCGTGGGGAGGAGTTGGATGGAAACCTGGGAAATATAAAATGACAGTTCCTTCATTCAAAGGAAAGTGTGATCCCGAGGCATACCTGGAGTGGAAAAGGAAGGTTGAAATGATCTTCAAGTGTTATAACTACTTGGAAGAGAAAAAGGTGAAGTTAGCAGTTTTAGAGTTCATGACTATGCCATTTCATGGTGGGATCAAGTGATTACTTCACAATGTAGGAGTGGGGGAAGACCAATCAACACTTGGGAGGAGTTGAAGTAATTGATGAGAAAGAGGTTTGTTCCTAGCCACTATTACCGAGAGATCCATCAAAAACTGCAAGGTCTATATCAAGGGTCGAAAAGTGTAGACGACTATTGTAAGGATATAAAAATACTCATGATTAGGGCCAATGTGGTGGAGGATCGGGAGGCTACCATGGCACGATTCTTGAATGGGTTGAGTAGGGAAATTGCTAATGTAGTGGAGCTGCAACATTATGTGGAGTTGGAAGACATGTTGCATGTGGCTATGAAGGTAGAGAAACAACTGAAGATGAAAGGGGTAGCTAGGCAGCCATTAGGAACTTCGAGTGTTAATCCATTTTGGAAGCCAGGGTGGAACAACAACAACAAAGGTGATAAAGCTGTACCTAAAGGTAGGAATGAGTGGCAAAAAGGGAAAGAAGAAAGTGCTAGCAAAACAGCACCCAAAACAGATTCACAACCATCAAGGAATTGAGACATCAAGTGTTTCAGATGCTTGGGGTCAGAGCACATTGCTTCTCAATGCCCAAATAAATGGGTAATGGTGTTGTTGGATAATGGAGAGGTGGTGAGTGAAAGTGAAGGAGAGTTTGAGGACATGCCTGCATTGGAGGACGTTGAAGAAGAAGAAAAATTGGAGTTTCCTGTTGGGGAATCGTTGGTATCAAGGAGAGCTCTTAACACTCAAGTCAAAGTGGATAATTCGGAGCAGCAACGAGAAAATATATTTCACACACGTTACGTCAACGATAAGGTATGTAGTATGATTATTGATATGGGAGTTGCACGAATGTAGCTAGCACAACTTTAGTTGAGAAATTAGGACTAGCATTATTAAGACACCCTAGGCCTTATAAGTCGCAATGCTTGAATGCAAGTGGGGAAGTTAGGGTGAATAGAAGACACCCTAGG